TACACAATTATACATGCATTTGGTAATATTAATTAAACAGAATGATAAAATTAGTCTCAAGACTTAAATCCCCATTAGACACTGACATAGGTGCGCAATAAAATAAACAAGCACAATAAAATATCTGAAAAAACAAAATCTTGAGTATGTTGCAACTCTTTGTTCATGGGTATTTGCGCTGGAAAAACTTGTATACTTGATAAGACATACTCCTGGACATATCCTGGATATCCCTTACCAGATAAGCTTAAAATTGAATATCGTAGTTTACCTTAAATAGGTGGATCAATATTGTTTTGACAACACATTATTAACCCCCTGGTTTTGACTTTTCTTATATACCAGTAAATTCAATATACTAGTTGATATTCAATATTGCTATTTCATATCAACCTATTAAATCTTTAAATAATCGTTGATTCATATATAATTTCTATTTAACTGATTATTCGACAAGCTGTTTCCCCGTCTCGTCGCACACATTAGCAGACTAGCCACTCCAATATAGCCTGATAAGCGAAAACTGAATTTCAGCAAACTGATTTATTGAATTATTAATTTGTGAATTTTGATTTCCTTTTTAGAGCATCAATATGAAGATCCAAACATATGGAGCAACTCTTGGGTGCTGCTTATCTTAGTGTGACTCCTGACCAATCACTTTGTTAATCTGCCTATCACAGTGCTCCAATAGCTTAACTAAATATCAGAATTCAATCGATCTGAAGGAGATGTCAGAGGAACCAATTTGATTTTGACCATCTATTTAAAAAATTAACAGTTTATTTGAAATATCCCCCTCCCAAAGACTCCCTTAGCAAAATTATACTTTCCCTCAGAATGTAATCTAATAGCTACAATCAATTGTAGCTGGATTAGGATATATATCACTTGCCAATTCCACTTTTATATCTAGTTCTAGCACAGCTACAACATTTCCTATTTATTTATTTATTTTTTTTTTTAATTTTTTTTTTTTTTTGCAAATCTTTAATTACTGTTCTAATTAATTACTGGGGAAGTGATAAGGTCATGCTTTGATGGAAAGGAGCAGCTGTTGACTCACTGATAAAGCTGTCTTAAAAAAATAAAATTAAAAAAATGTTGACTTGTTTTTGGTAATGTAGCTGAAAATAATTAATCATGGTAACATATATCTGTAATCACTATCAATTACCTAAGGTTTTTTATTGTACTTACTGCCTTTTGTACCAATGTAATTTGCTCCTTGCTTGTGCCTGAACCCTGCAAATTTGCATACCTATTCTAAAGCATATGAAGAATACATTTACACAGCTTTGCTGCGGTTTGACTGCTCACTGTGAGACAAATGCTTGCAAAATTAATAAGAAATGTTTTCATCCTATTTCAATAAACTATGATTTTGCTTCATTAGTTGGATTTTTATGCAGTAATTGACCATGTGGATCACATGAGTTCCCATATGTTGTGTAACATAATATACAAATTAACTCCCCTCCCATTATGTAATAGGAAAATTAGTTCATACAATATCACCTATAAAAACCTTAGACCTTTTTGATTTCTTGGTAACATGTTCTATGTAAATGCCAGGATAACATACAAAAAATAAATAAATAAAATAAAATAAAATAAAAATAGGAAAAGATAACAAACAGTAAACTTTTTCAAAAGACCAACAAACAAATAAAACGACACAAGTCTGCAAATAGAGTACAACACTTACACAACTTAATAAACCTCCTCTCAGTCCATAGAGTACTTTGATTACTTCAAAAAGTGAAAGTGCACAAATTCTCGTGAATGCTTTCTCCGATTTAACGACGATTACATTTTGTCAAATAAGAATCAGTATACCTCCTTCGAGCACGATAAATCTATGTAGAAAACAAACTAAAATCCCTCTAATATGCCCGGCTTCTCCGGAATGATAGCTTGTGACTAAGGGAGAAAATTTATATATATCCGAAATGTACGTAACTTATCCGGAATAGATAAATATTACTAGGGTTTCTGAAATAAACTCACTTATCCGAGACCAGGCTCGTATAAGTGGTTATATATTTGCAGTGAAATACATGCTCTGTTAGATTGAAATTACAAAAATAGCACAGTAATCAAGGGAATCATAGGACATCAATATTTATGGCTCTATCAAGAATAATTTTGCACCTATGGATTTGTTCTAAAATGAAAATTGAGTTTATACAATCTATTTTTGGATTTATAGAATAAGGAAAACTACACGTAGATGCAAAACAGGGCAAATCTAAAGGTTAAAATTGTAATCCCGCAACATACCATTTTAGAATGGGGATCTGTGTCATTATATACAGAATTCCTATGGATGATTATTAAGAAATCTGTTTAAGTTGGACGTTTTATACTGCAATTGGTTGTCTGTTTTGACTAAATCATGTACAATGCTGTATATTTTTCATTAAAAAACGCTACTTCTTAAAACTAAAGGGAACTATTTTAAAAAAGTTTTGTTTTTATTTATAGATACTATTATTTGGCTTTTATTTCCAGAGACACATACGCTAGTTACTGAATGCATAAAGTTTCTGCCTTAAAACTCTAAGGTGGCAAAGTAATATACTACCGTAGTTTTCTGTGATATGACGCGAGATTCTGAATGCCCATTACAAGACTATTTCAAATCGATAGCAGGTATATACCACTAATATATGGATTAGTAAACCGTCTGTAAATATATTCAATTTTAAATCAGATGGTGGATGTTTGTATGACAAGGTGACAATAACGAACAAATATTGATCTCATAAAGGTCTACAAACAATACGAATCTCTGAGCAGTGCATAAAGAGCGGACATCTGGAAATACCAGAGGTGGGACCAGCCTAGGAGGAGTAAGCATCCCCTGTTGAACGTTACACCCGCCTTGTGCCCTATGTATTGGTCAGGTAGACAAAACATTCTGCAGTCAAATTTAGTATAAAAACAAAGGCATATCCATCGGAATGAAGCACGTCAGCCAAAATACGACCCAATGGTAGGTTATATTTGCTAACAATGTCATTATAACGACCATAGAATTTATGCAATGCTGACTTTAAACGCTGTTGTTGAAATCCCTGTAACATCAACATATCTATCAGTAGCTTGCCTCTATTTAAAAACTTATCGTTCTCAGAGCATGCTCTTGAGTATCGAATAAGCTGGGATAAGAAAAAGCCATATGCAGGGTCTAGCGGAATTTAAGATATGGACATATTTTCAGAGAACTTGGTGTTGTGAACAAAACTTGCTCTGCAGACACACATGCACTCTGTGACACCCGTAAGGGCATCATAGAAAATTGTCTGCAGGGCAAATGTACATAAATCCAAGTGTACTGAAACAACTTTGTTCATTACTATATTTGCTCTCTGTCATGTAGCCAAGAATGTCAGAGGAAATTCTAACAGGGAAAACGGCAGGACTGCTTGTCTACATTGAAAAAATATTGTTGACAATATAATCACCATGACATATTTATGAACCTGAATTGCAAATGAATCACATAAAGTATAATTATGTGATATCTATTTCTTAACTCTTGTTTCTTTATACGCCGCGCTGTCTTTGTTACTTTTTTATGTAGAGGGTTGTTTTTGCCCCGTGTTATTTTCACCTTAACGTACTATCAGATAATTTGGTTCCATTATAAATTCGCACAGAAAAGAGCTGTTTATGAGATGATGATGTTTACTTTAAATCCGCCCCTTTTTAAATATGCCAGTCTGCGACAAGGGCAAAAGGGAGTGAAAATGAAAATAAAACATTGGCGAAAATTTCCCTTTATACAGTATTTTGATACAATTATGACGTTATCTTTTAAGGATCTTAATCCTGAGGTAAAAGTAACATTATTGTTGAAAATGGAATGTTTTTATTTTAACTATTCATATAAGTTATTTCTCAACGTAAATTTTAAGTACAGAAGTTTCTTTTCTTTCTGTAAAATTGTGTAATTTACAGCATTTGAAGAAGCCATTAATAATTGAGCTGATTGTTTATTTTACGTATAAGATTATTTGTTTTCGAAAAAAAAACTTTTGATTAGTTTATTAATTTTGTTTAACAATTATCATTTTATGTATCAAAGAATAGTGAAACAATATTGTAATCTTTATAAACAGGTGAACTATTTGTATAATTCAAAGTATGCTATTGTAATATTAAGTTTTAGATATTGATCAATTATACAGAATATACATTGAAAGTACATTACATTATCATATTAGATTTTAAAAAATATATGATGGGTAGATTGTTTGATGTCTCCCCCTTACTTAAGGTACGTTTTATTTATGATAAAGATCATACATATTTTTGTGGGTTTTTTTGTTTAATAACAGTTACTGCAAATGCATGAGTATTGTGAAATGTATTTATATTATTTCCCTGTGCTCATATTTCTGTATTTCTATTGCAAACTATGTAATTCATTGATCTTTTACATACATAATATAATTCCACAACAGCTTTTGATGTTACATTTTACCACATTTATTGTTCTATTGTAGCCTTCACTATTATACATTTAACATAATAAAGAATATGAACCGCAATTATCTGGCGTGTTTCAATGTGATTTTAGGGATTAATCATCACTATTCCCTATGACTAAAATAGATTTGTAACGCAGAAATAAATTTTATACATATATCTGATACTTAACAAAACAAAAGAAAGAAAGAAAAGTGTTCTTTATCAAATTGATAAATTTTATTTAGTAAAACTGCAAATTATAATCTTGATCAGCATCTCTACTTTTCGTAATCTCATACACATAGCGTCACAATGGCGGAATGGTGCCTCGGTGTATGTTTCTGTGTTTTTTTAAGTCAAGAGAGAAGCCAAGACAACAGAGTTTAGATATGTTATGTCTTAGTTTACTGAAGGGATTTTTTTACGGGTTCGCTGAACAATTATTAGTGCAAAGGTCGTAATGGAATCCGTACCGTTGAATGACTCGAAACAACAAAAAAGATTAAATAAGTGGAAAAATCTTTATTTTTTGCGATTATACACCAAAATACTACATAAACATCTACTGAAAAAGTAAATTCCATTACTAATTGAACTATCTAGTGCATCAGTAGAAAAAAGGCATAGAGCAAATAGAAAGAGTCTAAGATTTTTTTCTTGGAACTAATCTTACGTGAGATAAATACAATGTATCAGAAAATATGGTGGCAAGGTACATTTGTTAAAAAAATCTCAGTTGAGGCAGAAATCTAAGATTTTAGGCTGAGATTTCAGTTTCGATTTTTATATGTTGGTGGCCCCGAAGCCTGTTATCTTTCAATATTTTTAAATTCAGAATTACTGTGAGACATTACAGATTTAAATTCAGAATTACTGTGAGACATTCTAAGGAGAAAAATAAATATTTTGTAATCATGGTTAACGAGGGATTTATCGACTCTTAAGGAGAATCAAAAATTTTGTCTAAAAACATTATTCTATTCTTGATTCTTCTTTTTTCACTAGGGATAATCTGTAACCCTCAAGATTAAAGTTTGCAAGAAAAAGGGATAATATAAAATAAACATTAACTAGTTTAAAAAGTTTATGCAGAAAGTGTTACAATAGCATTCAGCTGATGTGGAAAACTCTCGCAATCTGCAGCTTTCTAATCATAATGTTACCACTGCTGCTTATTTCCAACTGGTGGTGCTCCTGCACGTGACCCAAAACAATCCCCCCACCTCCGGAGGTAGCCATCGCGCGGTTGTCGTAACTGCGTCCAGATCCACCATACTGCACAACTTCCCGACCGCCGTTTTCTTGGCCAAAATTTGTGTCTTTGTCTGACCTGGCATACTTGCACAATGCACAGCAGCAGAATATGGTCTTAAAATATTTAATATCATATATTTTTGGTTAAATATTCAGCCAACAAACAAAATAATTAAAGAAAAATTAAAATAAAAAATTGTGATCTACTTCATTATACCAAATGTTTACCTATATTACTTTATCATGGAACATTCAAACTCATAGTTTTATGCTCATTGAAAACGAACATGCGTTTAATTGTATTTAATGACAAACCTCAAGCATCACGTAGCACGATGCTGCCAGACAAAGGTAAAATCCCCATCCTTTCTCATAGTCTTTGTAATCTGTGATAACAACCATACATCCAGCAAAACCAATAATTCCTGCAATACCAAAAGTCGTTAAGGAAATCATTGATAATAAATCAGTTGATTCAAAGGTGTATAACGTATCAAATGCAAAACAAGGGTTGTGCTCATTTTTTGGTAATGACCTTTGTTTATTAAAGAGAAAATAATACACAATTAACTCTCTCAGAAGTTATCCTGTGCTCGGATATCAGTGAAATTCACAATATTTTCAAGTATAATTAGTCTTACAAGCACAAAAAAGTTCACATCGTGCGCATTGCTATGTTTCATTTTTCGTTTCATACGTAGCAATTTGAAATGAAAGTTCTTCGGAACCGAGGCCCCGTGACACGGCAGGTGTTGGTACGATAAAGATCCCTCACTGCTCAATGGCCTTGCATGCCTAGCCTAGTAAAGGTCTTATTTTGAAGCCCTTCTCCGGTATATGGTGATGTCTCTATATGAGTGAAAAAATCTCGAATGGGCCGTAATACTACATACTATCAATCAATCAATGAATCATTCCACACGTATAAAATAATTTAAAAGGTGAAAATAACGAATAATGATTAAATAATACGAGGGCTGTTAGAGATGTTCGCGGAAAAGTTGTATTGTGAGAGCGCTTTACGCATGAGACCAATTAAATTTTGCAAATAAAACATATATGTATTTTCTAATTAATATACAAAGATTTGATGTTTTCCGATGATCTATTAAAAATATACAGCTATGTCATTAAGAGAAAATATACACGGAGCATGTTGATTTTTGGCACGTTTTCATTACATTGACATTTTTGTGAATTTATAAATTGCGATGTTGCGCATGAAAAATGCAGTATGTCATCTGTCACTAAAATATGTACGAAACGTCATTTGGCGAAATTTTGAACGTAACTGGAGAAGATATGAATGTTTTATTGCTAATTAAAAGGTGACCAATGCGTTAGAACGGTCCTGAAAAGCTACGTCAATGAACGTCATGGAGTGCCAAACTATGTGCAGGCATGAAAACGTCTGAAGTGATTAAATGTTTTGAAAGAATTGTCTTTACGTGTCTTGGGCAAAATTGTTGAAACTGAATCAGCTTTTTAAAGGATGGAATGATTCAAATTGTTATCAACTCCTGAGTTCCCCCACTTATCGTATAGACATTGCTTCTTTGCATATGTATGTTTCCATACCTGATCGCTATATTTATAACCTCATAATATCCATACAACACAAAAGAAATTTTAGAAAAATAAATGTCTTGCTATAGTAATACATTTCCTAACAGTTAAAATGGCATGAAAAGTCTGTAGAACTGAAAGAAATTTAAAACTGTGAAAAAGATTGAAATGTTTGGAATCAGGTTGTTACCTCACCTAACGTCAAGAAACTTCAAGTGCTTGCTCCGTGAATCCTCTGACCACAAAGTAAAAGTCATTTTATACTTTAAAAAATAGTAAATGGGCCTGTTTTTATATACTTATTGATGAAAGATATTTTTTTAAACAAACATTCGTCATTCTTCAAAGTCAACTTCAAAGTACAAGATCTATTTCCCGTTCATGCATTGAACGTATCACTTGTATATAACTTATGTAGAGAGAGAGTATGGCGAAGAAAGTTATGAAGTTATTTAAATCCACAATTCTTAAACAGATTTGATAATGTAGTGAGATTTGTGTTCGATAATAAAGAGATGTTTGTGAACAAAAGTAAAGGTTCCGGGTTCGTCACCAAAAAATTCTTCACTTTTTCTTAAATTGATAATGGTTATTTATACATTAAAGAAAAAAAATGAATAAGATACGGCACTGTTGAAATGATGTTGACTTAATGTTGTAAAAAATACTATGTATACAATGTAGATAATATAAATCTAATTTGAGGTACAATATAAAGTTGTGAGGCTTTAAATAAGAAGTATACAGCGATGTCGACAATATCGATAAAACGTTGTACACCAGACATACCCAATTATTATAGCATTCAAGGAAACTAAATGATGGTAGAATTATGACAAATGGATACATTGCATAAATTTTGCGCAATGACATTATGCGTACCTGCAACAGGATATAAACATAGCAAGCACACTCCAAATTTTGCGCAGCAACCCACATCATCATCATCTTCGTTATCGTCTTTGTTGCAGCAAATGGTGTATATGAGGACCGCTGTTGTCAGAACAATAACAATAAGAGCAGTTGTCTGAAGGCCCAGAATAGTGGAACCAAGGCCTAGTAAAATATGACACAAATAAAGATGTTTAAAATAACCTTACATTCACAGAAACAACACACGCAGCTAAGTTATACGAAGAAAATGCAAAGATCAAAAATGATTTGCGAGCTTAATGTTTTAGATAAATACTAGGGATGTCAACGTGTACCCAGTAACCCGGGGTACTCGATCGAACGTCAGAGTATCGAATACTAAAATTGATACTCGGTTACTCGCATGTATATTTTTTTTTCAAATTTCAAAGTACATATGTTTATTAAAAACTTATCAATAAGTAACAAGTATGCATTGTCCATACCTGTCATCGCTGTATATATACATTAAATATACATTATATACTGGTACAAAACTCTTCTCACCTATCGCCGTAGTATTTTTGGATGGCTTCTATGCTTTTGTTTTCATTAAACCTCTTTTGATTATGCTCTATGATTTTAATACACGGTATAGTGATGCCTCTATACACTTCAAAAGTGAAGAAATACTCAGAAGTAACTGAAGATTCATAAAATGTTAAAAGTCAGTTGTGAGGAGGACATTTAGCCTATTCTGCCGAAATAACCAACATATAAAATATACGACTAGCGATCCCAAAAACGTCCACTCTTTTAAATGATATTCTAATCACTCTATAGCTGTGTTACAAATTATCCTCCTCTGGCATTCATCAAAGAGGTCAAAAAAGTAAAATGATGTAGCTCCAATGAGTAAAATTTCTCCTCCTGACTAACAGTGATAGCTATTGAATCCCTTATTGAAGACTCAAAATGCTTGATTAAAAATATATATCGAACATTGTGAAAATATAACAATTTTGATCCACTTAAATATTATATATTTTAACTTGTGAAGATGTCCTAAAGTATTGCTAGCTATTGGAATTATGCTATGACAAAACTTAAAACTGTGCTGCTCATGGTGCTTGCATACATAAAGGGCTATTTAACTTTTGCTGTTGAGATTATATTTTAATGAATTATTCCTGTATATTCTAGTGTTAAAAAAATTCTCTTAATAAGTTTAATGAATTAATGCATTCTTGTTCGTATTACCAATAGATTAATTTTCTTGCACGAATATGCGTGAATTTAATTTAATGCGAAATTTTATGCCTTTCTTTCACTTTTTAATTGCACGATCTGTTCATCAAATATTAAAAAATAGTAAAAAGATGGGAGGGGGAGTGAAAAAAAACATGTTAATTTTCTGTCTTTATGTGATTCGCATGGTTTTTTAAATACACAGCGAATATTTCCAATTTACCTTTGATGGTGTCCTCGCAGTTCACTGTTAAAAAGATTCCTCTAAAACAATCTGTTGTTGAATTTTGTTTGATCCAATATGGCGAGAAAAACCCTGTTGTCTGTAATACAAGACCTGGCAGCAACAAACAACCAAAACAACAAACTAATACAACAGATTCAGAACTCATAATGTATGCTGGGATTAAACACGGATCTGGAGAGAGAATTTCGAGTCTTGGATTTTCCTACTTTTGGTTTGAAATATAGAGTAATTGATGTATGGCTCTATTATCTGTGTCACATGTGTCACACTACATTATTATGCATATTGTAAACAGAATCGCTCTAGAACCCAACACCTTCTAAACTAGGTCAATACGAATTGATAAACAATTTAAACAAGAAGAAGGAAGAAATTTTATTTTAAAAACCACATAGCCTCAGGGGGAGTATTTTTACATAGATACTGAGGAAAAATCAAACAAGTTAAAGATGCATAAATATATACGAGGGTTGTCCATAAAGTTCGTGGACAAATGCTATAATTTTCTTCTTTTTGTATTTTGTATATTTATATATATTTGATTAATCTTATTATGATAAATCGTTCATTGGTGATAAGAATTGTTATTATTCTTATTTGTTCACCTTATGCTTCCAGCCTCAAATCACTGTTCCATCTCCTCAACACTTCCTTAGTGAAGTAGAGATGGGCAGGCCTCTGCATGACCGTATAGATATACTTAGTGTATCTATTTTATCTTTTAAAAAATAACTAAATTATAAATAAATAAACACACCACCACGTCACCCAGCCGAGGAGACTGAAGCAATCAATTTTTTGGTGGCCGGCCATACATGTAGTATAATGTCAACTCAATAAACAGGGAAAATAAAGATGAGAGTTGATACAATTTAAATAGTTACGAAAAAAGGGGAGGGGGGGGTTCAATAAATATTTAACACAAGTTATAGACAAAACTGAAAATAGGGGGGTGTTAACAAACTTTCTAAATTTTTCAATGTATACTGCGATTCTGGTCACTCAACGTTAAACAATAATGTAGATTTTATAGGTTGTTTTTTTAATTAGCAAATAATACTATACATATTTCTAAAAGCATGCTATTATTCTGGTAAGTAGGTAACAAATAATTCTATAAAACCAACATAGAGTATAATACATTGTTTGATTATGATAGATTCTAGGAATTTGTATATGTGCGTATTTGTGAACAAAAAAGAAAATTGTAATAATGAAAACGACCAGGAAGGAGTTATGCCAAATAAAATTTAGAAATTTTGAGTTTGTGCTATAGCGTATTTATTATTCTAAAATATGCCAAAAATACCAAAAGATATAGGCTAGTATGCCAGTAATTTTGTGAGGGAACTCTCATCAGGTGCTAGTCCCAAACTCCATGCAGGTTTGTTTCGGTAATGAATTGGCCATTCATTCTAGCACGACAAACCTGTCCTCGCCATTTCCGGTAGATGTGTATTTCTATTTTCTAGTGTATAAACAAAAAAGTGCACGTGTAATATATAAGTTTTGTAATATATCTAACACTACATTTATATCTTAGCTAAGGTACTTACCTTAAGTCTTCTATATTCTTCTATATTGAATTACATCATGGCGACTTGACAGGGTTCTTATCTGTTGATATGAAGTCATTTTTCACAGTATGACGTAACAGTACTCCAAGGATTTACAGTTATTGGAGCCATAATTTACAGATATAGTATAAGGCAAATTGTTTTAAACAAAACAAATTACAGGGAATTGAGAATAACCATGAATTATTTTAATATATAGGTTTGATAAAAAAAAAAAAGAAGAAGAAAAAAATGTTTTAAAAAAAAAAACAATTCTTATCACCAATGAATGATTTATCATAATAAGATTAATCAAATATATATAAATATACAAAGTACAAAATGCAAATAACTCCCAAGGTGATTCACCAAATGTTACAGTAACTCAGACCTATGACTTACTCTAAGACGTCCTTTTTAATTTTTTTCATTTCTCTTTTTGTTTTTTAAACATTTTTTTATCAAACCTACATACTGTAGATTCCTTATTTTACGCGAGTACTTAATATCGCGAAAAGGCCCAAGGGCGTCAAATCGCGAGAACAATAATTCGCGAATGGGTGATTTATCTAGAGATTTTACATGCATTAAAGCACCATAAAAATAAAAGCGAGTAATTTTATTTCGCGAGTGGTGCTTCTCGCGTAATTACGCGTTAATTTATTCCTCGCGTACATTTAGAAATCTACAGTATTAAAATAATTCATAGTTATTCTCAATTCCCTGTAATTTGTTTTATTTAAAACAATATGCTTTATACTATATCTGTAAATTATGACTCCAATAACTGTAAATCCTTGGAGTACTGTTACGTCATACTGTGAAAAATGACGTCATATCAACAGAGAAGAACCCTGTCAAGCCGCCATGATGTAATTCAATATAGAAGAATATAGAAGACTTAAGGTAAGTACCTTAACTAAGATATAAATGTAGTGTTAGATACATTACAAAACTTATATATTACACGTGCACTTTTTTGTTTATACACTAGAAAATAGAAATACACATCTACCGGAAATGGAGAGGACAGGTTTGTCGTGCTAGAATGAATGGCCAATTCATTACCGAAACAAACCTGCATGGAGTTTGGGACTAGCACCTGATGAGAGTTCCCTCACAAAATTACTGGCATACTAGCCTATATCTTTTGGTATTTTTGGCATATTTTAGAATAATAAATACGCTATAGCACAAACTCAAAATTTCTAAATTTTATTTGGCATAACTCCTTCCTGGTCGTTTTCTTTATTACAATTTTCTTTTTTGTTCACAAATACGCACATATACAAATTCCTAGAATCTATCATAATCAAACAATGTATAATACTGGATGTTGGTTTTATAGAATTATTTGCTGCCTACTTACCAGTATAATAGCATGTTTTTTGAAATATGTATAGTATTATTTGCTAATTAAAAAATAACTTATAAAATCTACATTATTGTTTAACATTGAGTGACCAGAATCGCAGTATACATTGAAAAATTTAAAAAGATTTTTAACCCCCCTTTTTTCAGTTTTGTCTATAACTTGTGTTAAATATTTATTGAAACCCCCACCCCCACCCCCATTTTTCGTTACTATTTAAATTGTATCAACTCTCATCTTTATTTTCCCTGTTTATTGAGTTGACATTATACTACATGTATGGCCGGCCACCAAAAAATTGATTGCTTCAGTCTCCTCGGCTGGGTGACGTGGTGGTGTGTTTATTTATTTATAATTTAGTTATTTTTTAAAAAGATAAAAATAGTTATACTAAGTATATCTATACGGTCATGCAGAGGCCTGCCCATCTCTACTTCACTAAGGAAGTGTTGAGGAGATGGAACAGTGATTTGAGGCTGGAAGCATAAGGTGAACAAATAAGAATAATAACAATTCTTATCACCAATGAATGATTTATCATAATAAGATTAATCAAATATATATAAATATACAAAATACAAAATGCTATAATTTTCTTCCGCACCGGCAAACGTTTAGGATAATATTTTTTATATAGACCATGATCTAGTAAATATAAAACAATTCATGCAATACAGTCTATTTAACGAGTGTTATGGGTGTATACTTTGTATATGCAAGCGGCACGGTCCGATCTGACGTAAAGCTAATTTCATTTAAAGGTCAAACATGGATTTTAGATTTTTAACACATGTTCAGGTACACACGCATTTTCTTTATTATGTCATACTGCCAAGTGCTAGCAATAGTGTTTATGTATAGATTATAATTTATTTAATTTTTAAATTCGAAACAATACACAATAATTTACGACCTTCATCAATTTACACGGGCTGCACAGCCCAGTCCAAAGTTGCGCTCGATTTATCACAACGTCATGAATAGAAATATCCATTTTCATCAAATAAGATGTGTTTTCCACTTCTTGTAGTGTCTTCAAAATTGCATACACCGTTGAAAAATCGTACTAGTATATAGCAATCTCAAAATTTTTGACAAATATTTTTGGGGGGTTTTGTTCACTATTTCACTGTCTCTATAGTAAGCGATATTTTACATATCAGGAAATGAATATAGCCTCTTTATTCTTAAAACATATAATTTTTATTAAGCTTTGACTTTTTTTTACAGAAAATTATCATTTTAATCTGTACACTTTATTTTAAAGTTCATGGCATTTTAACCTTGGTCCGTGAGCACTATCAGCGACCTTTAAAGACCCCGTTTTTACATAAATATTAAGTACCATCAATAAAAATTAAATTATTCTGAGTTAGATTTTCATAGGAAAGATTTTGATATGCAAGAACTACACATAGAACCATGTATTTTGACAAAAAAACGTCATTGTCAACGAACTTTATGGACAACTCTCGTATATACATCATTTGTTGTAGTCTTAGTTATTTATTGTATTTAATAAGTATCACTGTTGACACATACGTAACATTCCTCATTAAAAAAATGTCATCTATGTCACTTATGGACTTACTGCTGTTTCCGGCCGTGCATCATGTGTCGATCGTAAACGTTCAGATTCTTTCTAACATTTCTCTAGAATCGCTGAACCAATGTTTGCAAATTTTGGCTAATGGCATTTTTGTGCTTGGGAAAAAATTGTTAATTTCATGGTTTCTGTCCATTCTGTCCATTGCTCTGTCCATTCTGTCCATTGCTTTAAAGAGGCGGGACCAAAACCATCACAATTAGAAATCGTCAAAAATCTGCTACTTGATGTTCTTTGGACATCCATCAATGAAACTCAATAAGAATATAAAAACAGATCTGCTAAAAAACGGACACAATTAGTACTCATGGAAAATCCAACAGATTGTTGGAAGAACCGGTCTCCAAAGATTATACAGGTACTGTCAATGAGAACAATACAATTGTGAGAAGGGCAAACACAAACAACTGAAAACATCATAGGTGGGATCAGGAGCAATGGTGGCCCTTACCAAAAATATTGCGTTCCTGCAAACAATTGCTGCAAGTCTGCTGCAAACATTGCAGCAAACTTGCTGCAGACATTGCTGCAAGCTTGCTGCAATAAAGCTTAAGAAACCAAGACAGCCTATGTGTTTGCAGCAAGCTTGCAGCAAACATTTTACCATTTTACCATGCAAATGAGGTTTGCTGCAAG